CATTATCCCCCTATCATAATATGAATATTAGGTTGGTGAATTGACAGTGGTCCACAGATTTTTAATTTTTTTTAGTTGAATTAGTTTGACCAACATTTTCTGGATTCATATACAGATTAAGGACGTTTAAAAGCTGTATAACCTACTTATAATGGGTGTTAGATTGCATCTTTATTTCCTATAGTATTTCTTTTTGCATGTATATTATATGAATGTGCTACATTCAAGTGGATTTGTATGTATGCTGAAATGGGAAGAAACCTTTGTGAAGAAAATGAACTTATGCTGGTATTTTCCTTCCATCCTTAAAGATAAAATTGAAGATGTTATAGCAAAGGTCACTTATGTTGGACATGAACTTTAGCCTAGCGAACTCTTTGTTTGTGTTTTTATTTTTTATCGTGGGTCACTTCAAATGATCTCGTAGGATTATAGATATAGTCAGACTTGCAGCAGATTGTAAGATTATTTGTGCAGGTGGTGTGCTTGGATTAAAAAAAAAAAAGAAACATAAGGAGTCTTCGACCTTGCTAGGTTATTACTGTCCATTTGTTTATCTGAATCTCCTGCAGCACAAGTGAGAGTTTCTCACATATGATTCATTCAGTTTTTGAAAACACCGTATTACTGACATATCTAAGCACATTAAAAGTAAATTGCAGTGCAAATTCTTTAGCCTAAAATTTTGCCCTGCATTATGTGGGGCTTGAAATACTGAATGGGAAAGGAGAAAGTTTTAGAGTTTCATTTTGTTTATTGGAGTTTTCAATACCATGATGCATTGTTATAGGGTTTTTGTTGGAGCTGTCAGACATTAGAAGTTATTTCAGAACACTTTGACTGTAGACAATTGTTCTCTATCCCAACTGTTGAACTGTCATTCAGCTGCCATATTTACAAAAGTATGTTCCCAGCCTTGTTCTGAGGACAATAGACCGGCTTCTGAATAAACCATCAGAAACTGTGAACACACAGATGAGCATGCACAAACCCACATACTGCGAAACACCAGCCATATAGTCATCCATATAAACAAAACACACTATGCCTTTCACCTTTGGAGATTCGACACATTTTGTTGGTCGGAGTGAGTGTGAGTTTATTCTTTTATTCCACAATGTCATCTCATCCACTCTCAACACAAAGGCATTTTCAGAAAATCTCTTCCTCTCACTCGTGTACATGCGCACGCAGCAGCACACTGATTACACCCACTTCCTAAGCAGAACATAAAAGCATTCCCCCTCTACGATGACTGACATGCTAATGTTGTGGTGTCACACAGTCGTGCTCATGATGAGGATGAGGGGCAACAATATTTCCACTGTGGTAACCACAAAAGCGATGATACACATCTATGCAACAGTGAGATTGACAAAAATGATAGTCCTCCTGTTTCCTTTGCTATGGCGATCTACAGGTACAAATACACAGCAGGACAGCAAAACACTCATATGATAACATGTGAGATATCCCCAACATGCACAACATTTTGGCTTAATCCCTGTATGTATTTGTGGTATAAAAAATATAAACAAGCTGAACAAACATGCCATTCAATGCAAGATCAATGTGATAGCAACTCCCATACTCCTGCACTATGCATCATTTCATCAGACATATCCAACAGAGATAAGAGTATATGATTAAATGGCAACAAAACAACCTTGGCATTACCTCTATTATTAGTTGGATGCTGAAGAAAAGGAAGGGAGATGAGGTTGAGGGAAAGACGATAATGGCAGAAGCACACAAAGCTGGACAAAACAGGGTACATGATAATTATTCAAATATTACATTGCCCCATTTTTCCAGAAACTGAGATACTATTTCACAATAGTATTTCATATTTTTCACAAGTCATTCATGTTTAGAAGTATGTAAGTATAGAGATTGGTCCACCTGTCACACTGAATAACCAAAGACTATAAATAGTTTTATTTAAATTCATATGTAAAAGTAGGAGTCGGTATATTTGCTCGCTGTAGAGCGACTCATTTCCACACTGAAGAGCAATGAAGTCAATAAGAGTCATGTTGCTCTTCAGTAATGCAAACTGAGTCCTAGTGGCTCAATAGTGGAGTTTTGCTCCTAATTTTAGCAAAAGTTTTAAAATCAGCTCTCACTGGCATAGTGTGTGGAAGGACTTTCATTTACATGTTTTTTTTATGTCTCTGTTGTTTAATATTAAGAAGTTGGGGGGAAAAAATTGTTTTACTGTATTTACATCCAAACAGTCTTGCTACAGTACATGTACATATTTCATAGTGTGTGCATTAAATGCGTGCATGTTAAGTTCTCAAGCAACGGTAGAGGACGCTGTCTGTCAATCTCGGGGTCGGGTTGTGCTTTAAAGCAGTCCTGTGAATTTAAACTGTCTCATGAATACCGACTTGCTGTTCGATGTGAGGCACTGCCTCGCGGGGTGTGCTGTTGTGGCATAGCTGCTGAAGATGCGATCTTGTGGAATAATGCTGCAGTTATTAAATCTCTCTTGGGTCTGTTGGTATTGTGAGGTTCTCATGAAAAGATTTTCCTCTCTCTGTCTCTTTTACCAGCGACACCGTATCACAGTGTTACTCTGCTGTCTGTTGTAGTGCTTTAGAAATTCACTAAGTTCATTACCGGACATGGAACTACAATTTACCACAGCTTGATGATCATTATCATGATCCGTGTCGCCCACCTTTGTAATACGTAAGATCTTGTCTTTAAGGGCTTGTCTTTTTTTTTCCCAATTGGTTGGGTTTTATGAAAAGTTATGGTTTTAAACTCACTGTTGCAAAGAAAGTAAGACCACTTATGTAAACTCAGAGTTACATAATGCAAACTTTCCACTTAAGACAAAGACCAAGAGCAAGCTTAAATTTAATACTTAACCAGCAACTCCAAATCAATGGAGTTGGTCAAAAAAAAGATCACTACAACTTATTATTTTAGCAAAATGTACAGAGGATGCAGACTAAATCAAAACTATCGGATCACAAATCTGTTGCATTCTGGTCAAAACCTAATATTCCATAATAAAGTAGGTCAATAAAAGGCAAAGGTATTTCTCAAATATTCGTTTGCATATCATCTATTTCAATACGCAGATTAAAGTAAGCAGAAATACAAGATAAATGTTAGCCTGCTTTTTTCCTTTTTTGTTCAAGATAAGAGTTAAATATATTTTGAAAAAAATCAGTAGTATATTTAATGATATGGCTCTAAAAAGAACGTATTCTAAGATTTTTTTATTTTATTTAATTTTTTTTTTTTTGCACATCTCTGCCAGGAGTATCAATAAATGTGTCTGGAAGTGTAGCTTGTGATCACTTTTAAGTGTTCTTCAACAAACAGTCCGACTACAATCGACTCTGACCTTTCTAGTTCTCACTGTGGCTGGAAATCAGCTCACCTAAAAGATACCGCAGTTCCCGAGGACAGTCGGGATAGCAGAAATCCATATTATATTTCAAACGCCAACCGATCCGAAATCCACTGAGCTAAGCTTATCTTTTCTTGTTTGCCAACGTTACATTATTCTTAATTAGGTTTGATGGTAATTGTTCTGTAGCTCTTATAATATACGCTGTAAACAATTGTACAAGGACTCCAAAGTTGGCAACTCAGTAAATGTCTTGTTGTAGTTTTACCAGGTGGAACACTAAACAGTTCAATCAGGACACACACACATAAGAATCCACAACCAGATGGAATAATGATGTAGATGAAGTCAGATGAAAGAATCTATATGTGTCCGTTAGTATGTCTGTGTCAACATTGATTAGTCGGCAGACAGCTCAATAGTTCTCTCTGGCTTTCTCGTTCAACCTCTGTTTTCTCCTGTCCTCTTTGTTTCCCCCTCTCCCCCTATTCAACAAGCATCAGTCACTTGTGAATTGACAGTGATAAAGAGAATGTTTGCACTTGTGCAGTTGTAATTGTCAACATCATCTGTTTTGGCTTAAATGAATGTTGTTTTGAGAATAGGACGCTATATTTTAGCATTGTACCATATCATTATGCTGTTCTCTCATCAAAAACATATTTGATTAATTCACGTGTTTCAGAAATCTTTGAATCTGCTGGGGCGGCCATTTGGGGTCCATTTGGAAGACTAATCGATATACAAGATTTAACTTCCTGACTGATATTATTTGATGTTGCTTCAATTTTTCTACATAATGATCTTTCCTCATGCTGCCACCTATTGCACCAGCTCCTCCTGCTGCAAAACTGCCCCACAACATGATGCTGCCACCCCCGTACTTCACTTAGGATGGTACAAGCACCCTGTTTTTTCCTCCAATCTAACAATGGTGCCCAAACAGTTCCACTTCAATTTCATCAGACCATAGGACATGTCTCCAAAAATAAAGATCTTTATCCCTGTGTGGATTTGCAAACTGAAATCTAGCTTTTCATGTTTCTGTAAAAGTAAAGCTTTCTCTATACACAAACCATATCTACAGCCTTTCTGACCAGACTGAAGCTAAGAAAGCGCTGCTGTTGACTGACATTTTGTTTTCACATTTCTTCCTCTGTAATGACCTGGATTGTTGTCCACTGAACTGATGGATCATCATTTGACTCTTACGCGGAGCGTATTCTGTGAAGTCCGCGTGTTGACACTTTGGGAAAAATCTTTGCTAGTGTGTTTGTGTTGATTTGTATGCCCCAAATCCTTTTCTTCGGGGGGATGAAATTGAGTCAGACAGATATCAGTGTGCAATCTCATTCAATCACAGCTGAGCCCTCAGCCTCTCAAGGGGGGACCTCTTTATTCATAATCACACTACTGATCTGGTGCTAATGGTTACATTTTTTTTCTTCCTATTTTTTTAGTCTGTTTTTCACATCGTGTTCACAAATGCTTTTAAAGAAAAAATGAATTTGCGTGTACTGTCTATGCTTCTATTACAGTTTTTAACACTTTTTGGAGGCCTATTTGTAATGTGACTCTTTTTTTTTGCTTTAACTGTCATTTGACTTTGTAGGAATCTTATGAGTAATTTGTCTCTTTTTTCAGCTCCACAGATGAACAGTTTCGCTGGAATGCTCAAGGTAAAAATCTCTATGAAAGTTTGTAGCATTTTCTGTCTTTGTTTTCATCTTGTTAACTACCAAGAGCTTGCATTGTATATTACATGAATTTTATTACAGCTAAAAAAAAATTCTAATTTGCAAAGAGTTTTGAATTCAAATTTCAGATAATCAACTTAATTTTGATACCAGGATGCATACCGTTCAAAAAATCTACTCAGTTTAGAAAATATTTTTCCCCAAAGATATTTTTTTCTTTTTGTTGAGTCATGAATGCTGACCTTAGCTGAAAAAAGTAAGGACTCTTTCAGATTTTGTTCTGGGTTCTTTTGTGACCTGACTGACCTGAATGTGGTCATTGGACTCTTTAACTAAGTGTAGGAGGCCAGCCACGTCGGCTTCACAACTTTTTATTTATTTATTTATTTTTTACGTTTGAGAAATGGTGACTAATGTGGTTCACTGTATATTCTAAACTTGTTGATATTAATGGCTAGATGGATGAAATCTCTTAGCCTACTTGATGTGTCAGAAAGGTTTAAGTGATTTTATGATTTAACAAATCAGGCAGTAATCACACATATATGTGACTTGTGAAATTGAACTAAAATGTGTTTAATCACAATTATTATTATTATTATTTTTTGTACATTAGGTGAGGTTGGTTTGGAGAGCCGTTTATCCCATAATAAATCTCCTTGTCCTTTGAAACGACATTTTATGTTGACTCAGGTTATTTTGTTCTGATATTAAAATATAATTTTAATGGCAGGAAAAAAAGATGCCCACGGAGTCTAGTTAAAATCAATTTAGGTATACACTTTCACAGAAAAACACAGTAAAATACACTTTTGTAGGTTATAAAAGCACACGGGTGATTATGGTTGGTTCACAAAGACACTTTTCTCCATGTAGAAATGGGGGCAAACACTTTTTGCACAGATTCTTAAGTGTGCATGTAAATGACACCAGCATCATTTTTTCCCTTGTTGTCTTATTCATCTATTGTCTCCTGGATTTTCTTGTGTGTATTTGTAACTATAGATAAATAGTTTAGTTGTCTAATATATTAAATACTCCCACATCTCATAATTTTCTGTTGTGGGTAATGATTTATAGGCTGCTATAGGACAGAGCCTGGAGTCCTGAGAGATCTCAGTTAGTCTCTTTCTCTTTCCAGTTAGGCTTTTTTCCCCCCCATTGTCTTTCACTGAATTTCCTTTTTTTTCTTTTTATCCACAGCAGATGGACAAAAGGACATCGAGGATGAGTTAACGACTGGTTTAGAGTTAGTGGACTCTTGCATTCGCTCTCTACAGGAATCAGGAATCCTTGACAGCGGAGAACGTAAGTAAACTTAATCGCCTTGTGTTTTGTTTTTTGTTTTTTTACTGTGTTTGTGTTTGGCTTGTGTGATTTAGCTGGTTAAGACCAAAAGCAACATGTGTTCATCCGTGCTGCATATTTTAAATACACTTCAGTTTTACATGGTTTTTACTCAACCTGTGTCATTACTGTTGTAATGCTGATTCAGGCAATTAGCCCTGTCAACAACAGAACAATTAGAGAAGAACAGAACATGCAGTTCCAGGAGAAATTATTATGCCACTTTTTCCAGAATTTGGACTTTTTCTTAAAAATCAACAAGTAATTGAAATAACATCTAATAATGACTGAAATGCAGCCATTGTGTACATTGTAAAGTCTAAGATTAGATGCATGTAGTTCCAGGAGTAATCACGCGATAACTTTTCATGATGTTAGACTTTGACTTAAAATGATATCAAAGAAATACATGAAATTACAATAAAATCAAAATCTTATTGAAGGGCATCTCCTGTGCTTTGTAAGGTCCTGTTAAATTTTCCAGGCATTTTCTTTTCAGGTCATTGCTTTCGGAACAAGGCATTCCCATTTCGCTTATTGTCTGCTGACCTTTTGGATGGCTGATTTTGCTGCAACAAACTCCATTTTAAAAGCACCACAGTATGAAGACCTGCATATAAAAAACATAAAATCTGTGCTTTTTCATGCTTCTAGAATAGCATGCATGCTAAGCAGTAAATATCTCTTTATTTCTCATGGTAGAGGTTAGGAAACACTAGTTTGTATGACTTTAAAAAGGCAGATCTGATAACTCTCGGACACTTGATTTTGCTAGATTTACGTTATTTGTTTCCATTTCACCTTAATTAGAAAATGATTGTTCAAATACATCCTTAACAGTGGGGAGACATATCTGATAATTAGATTATTATCTTGTCTGCAGGAAGTGTCAGTCTTTGACACTCACTGTATTCACTTTTGTTGTCGATGTTCCAGACCCCTGACTTTAGTGTCAAATCAAAATGGGTGAATTAAGATATACTTAGTCAAGCTTTTCCTGTGGGATTGTGTGCATTTTATTTCCAGTGTAAAAGATCTACAAATTTTCCAGCAGTAGATAAATGAAACCCTGACATGTTAATGTTTTCACTCAAAAGGCTGCACACAAAGAATCATTTGCCTTTAGCTTGCTAGAGAGGGGTTGGTCCAGGGTGATGCAGCACATAATTAATTCTGCACAGACACATAATAAAACCTTCCTGTCAAACCAATTTCTACCTCTACACCAGCCTTTTTATACTCTGGTGTATTTACTGGATTTGCATGTTTATATTAGCCCCATTTTTTTTCCTTTTTTTTATTATAAGTGTTCAAAGTACATAAAGCAAGCCATTTTTTATCGAGATACTTGTTGAACTACGCTGACACAAACATGTTATAAGCAAATTAGTTCTGTGTTTAAAAAGCAGATTTCCAATTTTCAGTACGTATCAGGTGTCAAGACTGTTCTATCTATGCAAGATCTTGAAACTGCCATTCAAGATTTCATTACCTGCCTTGCAGATTGCTGCAATACACATTACGTTGGTCAGTCCTCTGAAATATACAATATATTCTTTTCAACCTTGCCTTAGGTTGGCACATTCACAGCCTACCTTGCTTGTATTGTGTTTTCTTTGATGATTTGCCAGCAACAGGGTGCAGAGCAACACTAGTTCACACAGCAGTTGCAGATGATCAAAGCAAATGCTGTATAAAAATAGCATTGCTGCTTTTTTCGTTAGTGTTGTGTGGATAATACTGCTAATAAGTCTGCCGGAAAAATGTTTTTAGGACTTAAGCTTTTTTTTTTTGAGAGCGAGAAAGAAGCACATTTAGAGAAGCATCATATTTAGGCCATATTTACACATGGAGGCAAGCACAATATATTTTTGTAAATGATAAAATGTGCATCCACATGACAGGGTGCAGCACCACACAAAAAAGGATGTAGTAGGTATGCCGGGCCAAATGGCGGCACTGTGAGTGCCAGAAAAAAACAAACGACTACAAAAAACGACAGCAGAAACAGAAAAAACAAAACAGAACCCACCATGACGCCATGTTTATTTGTGAGCGTGAGACACAATCAGGACAAAGAAAGGGATAAAGCTTCAAAGTTATTTCAAGGTGCAAAGCAGACACGTTGCACCTTTCAGGATTCTGTTATGAAATCCTAAATCAATTCTTCATGTACGTCGCACATTTTTGTCTGAAACTCTGTTGAGATGTTGTTATATAAAAGTCACAAAGGCACAAATTTTCCTAGGCTACATGGCAACTTATCATAGTTATTTCCCTCCATCTTATTAAACTAATCTGAATTAATTTGAGTCTAAATTCAGCCAAAGATGTTGAATTTCCTTCACTGGCATGTTAAAAGACACTCTATTTGAAGGCAACATATATGTTTGGCATCTGCCAATCGTAATGCCAAACAGACTTCACATTGCAGGTTTGGTGGATAAGAGAAAGCATAAACACCATTTCTGTCTCATAACGTAGAACATAACAAGCACCAAAGCTCAGTGACGATGAGTTTAGGAGTTCCTACTCTGACTGCGTAACACAAAAGTGCTGTATTAATAATTCATAAAAAGCCAGGGATGAATCATGATGAAAGAAGACAAGTCTTATGAAGGCGAGAGGCAGAGGAGTTGATCCTGGCTCACAGCGCACAGAGGGAAAAAGCATCCTGGGGAGAGAGGAAAAGAGCAATACCGAGCAAGCAAATAGATAGGGGAAAGAAATGAGAAATGGTAAAAAAAAAACCCAACTTATTTCTCTATTTATTTTGTGATAACAGATACTCAGAGTTTGAAGAACTAAACCCTGGTTTTATGTCGCCCTATTTATGACATTTTCTTAAAACCGCAGTTTGGCATCTTTACATGCAAAACATGTAGAATTGTTGAAACTGCCGTCAATACAGTATCTATTTACAACTAAATACTACATTCGAATCGAATGTTATATTTACTCACCTTTCATTGCTGCAAGGCTTTCTTAACCCCAGCTTATAATGTTTCCTATTTTGAAAAAAATCCTTTAGATTTTTCTATTTTACTTGTTATAAGTAAATATATATACTATAGCGTACAAAAAATAGACAGTAGATTTTCTACTGTAGCTGTGACTGTGGCAAGAGGAGGAAGCTCACTTTTATGAGGCTAAAGATGATTATGAACTCTTATAAAAGTCGTAGTCAAGATTGACCAGGGGGGGATATTTCTAAATCATTTTCTGCATTAACGCTTTATTGATGTTTAAGTTGTCATACTGCATTCATTTATTATCTGCAAATCTCATCACCAACAGTAAAGGGGGAAAAAAAAAGTTGCCAAAAAGATTCTTCCTTTACTTACCTGTCTCACACTTTGGCTGAGTGAAGTTTTCAAACGGTATCAGTGGGAAGGTAAACAAGAAGGTCTGTCTAAGCTGTTAGACATTCCCTCCATCATTACTTTTCGACTCAGCCCTCCTTTTCCCTTCCACTACATTTCTCTGCTCCTCCTTCTTTTCCCATTCTCTGTGTTCTCCTCTGTTTCTCCCTTCCTCGGCTAATAAATTATGTATGCCATCTCCAACTCACAGAGTGCTGCACTGCTGCACTATCTGCTCTAAATTGCTGCTCTCTCTCTCTCTCTCTCTTCCCCATTTCACTTTTTGCCTCTCAATCTCTCCTCTTTCACGCCCCCTCTCTTTCTCACTCTTAATCTCTCACTCTCTTCCTCGCACACAAACTCGACTCCGAACCCCCTCTCCGCCTACCCAACCGTGCACCACAACGGCCTCAATCGGTAGGACCGGCTCTTCTTTCCCAGAGTTCCTTGCAGCTCAACTCCACCCCGGAGGCTTCGCTCCAGTACTCTGCCAGCTACCATAGCAACCAGACCCTCGCCCTTAGCGACAGCATTTCTGCAGCAACTCCTCAGCGCAGCGGGCAGGTTGGAGGAGCCGTGCACAGCTACAACCAGGTAGGAAACACTGCTGTGAAATGACGGTGATGCGGATGCAAGTGGCGAAAAACCTCGGAGCGGATTGTGTTTGAACTTTTAAGTGTTTCTGAGAACTTTTGGTTTGTGCAACTGCTTGATAGGGCGAAACATGTTTGTAGCCGTCTTCAGAAGCCTGTGAAGCTATATCTTCTGAAGTGTCTGCCACCCGACCTTGCAGCTGCACAATTTACAAATTTAAACTTGTAAGAGACTTCATGTCGTATAGTTCAAAATGAGTTTTTTTTTTTTTTTTTTCTCTGTTCCTCGCTGATCCATTTCTGTTTCACTAGTGCCGAGTCTCACAGCATGTTGATCGGTTTGACATCGTAGTTATTGAGTCTATTTGATGAGTGTTTCATCATATGTTTGTAAAGGACCCGATTTCATTAGCCTTGCTGAAGTCCAGCAACACCAGTTCTCCTCCTTCATACATGAACTGGATTTTGACACAGTTTTGATGACAAATTCATCGAAGCGGTTTAATGGAAGACCGGTTATTAGACAGAATGAGGGAAAAAAAATACATGAATGCATGCTGAGAAATCTCAGCACGTGTCTTGTTTAGAACTTGAGAGCGAAAGCGAGAAACGGTCACATACAAATCACAGCAATGTGCTGCAAGAGAGAAACCCACCAAACTACTTTAGAGCCTACAGCAGCCAATTATTTCTCATTTTCAAGTCACTACCAAATCAATGGCAATACCGTGACTGGAAACACAGTTACAGTACGTTCACACGTAAACTTGCAGACACCCACGCATCTGCTTAATCAGCGAGCAGCTGCAGTGCTTTGTTAAAAAAAAAAAAAAAGAAGAAAATTTCTTCTGTCAGGAACAAATGTTTCATTTGCCAACGATGATTGGGAAACAAAAGTAATCAAAAATACTTAATATTTGCTGATTTTAAACCGGTGATCAAACTAAGAGGCCCCTATTAAACTTTTGGGAATTCGTTTTACTCGTTTGACTTTTGTTACCTTCTCGCCGTCTTACAAACACAGAAGGGGACGCCCTTTGCTTCAAATGAAGCTCAGACTTCTCCCCTATTTGAATACGTAACACATGAGGAAAAAGATGGAAGGAAAAAGCAATAGCGAGAGGAATGAGTGTTAAAGATTTTTTTCCGCCCCTTTCTGCAGTGTTCCTGTCCTCCTTTCCCACCTCTCATCCTCCTTCCCCTGTCCTTTCTCCTCACCATCTCTGTCCATGTGAGCGTGTGTGTTTGTGTGCTCTTTCCTCTGATGTTTGGGCTTGTCAGTGTAATGGGGATACTGCTGTCAGCAGTTTTGTTGCTCATGAATAGCTTTATGTATGTCAGAACTGGGAGATAGGGAGGTTCAGCTTGCATACATGTACTGTACAAGAATTGCTAAGTGTAACGCAGCTTTGTGTGCACAACAGGGGGTGTTACTATTACATGTAATTACTCAACCGTGTGTGTACAAGGGTAGATTTGTTTGAGTGACTGTTTAAAGAATAGGGAAAGAGTAAGACAAAGGGTCTATCATGTTTCTTCCCTGTTGTAGGATATTTTTAACCCAAAGTGTTCTTGCTTTAACAATGCATGGCTGCATGGCACCTAAAACGTCCCAGTCTTTTACTGATGTGAGAAGGAGATAAAGTGAAATCACAAAGTTTTGGGGATTTTTTTTTTTTTTTCTGTTAGTTCAACTTTTACTTACTATTTGTTTAAACATTGATCCATTCATCCGTCACTCCGGACTCAATTCCTTATTGGGTTTTCTGATTTATGAGCAAACCTGTAGCTTGAAACTGTTTTGAACTCTGCTTTTTCAAAGTAATTTATAAATTGTCGATAGAATATTTAAGCAGTTTCCTGAGCTTTATGTCAATAGCTCCACATCTTCAACTTGGCTTTATGACCCATTAAACAGTTCTGAATACTTATGGAGCTCCTCCACCTGAAGCCCATAACCTTCTCTTCACTGTTGAAACTGGGACTTATTCTGACCACTATTGAGCTGTTCTTGAAGCTGTTGTCATGAGAGCCGTCTATCATGAAAGCTGTTAACTCTCAAAAATGAGTCCTCTTGATTCATTTGTGGCTTTGGGTCTGTCAGACCTCTTCCTGTTCCAGTTTCTCAGTTCGTCTTGACGATGAAGGAAACTGTACTCACCGACACCTTGACTTTCCTTGCAATTTCTCTGTAGGAAAGACCTACATTTATAAAGGCTCTGATGTTCTGTCTCTTAATTGCCCTTTTGTAGCTGCACACTACTTTCTGCTGCACACACTGTTCAATAGATGCTCAGGAAGCATCTATTCCAACTCTATACTTTTATGCAGACACTTGAATTAGTACCACATCAACTTTCAAGGCTTGATCAACCTCCAATGCTGCAGAACAGTTACGGAACATTTTGTGTTCCCTGAAAGATACTTTACATTTCTTCAACCGATCATAGTTGCAAACATAGTGACGATCATAGGGCAGCCTTGTTTTGACACTCATTTTTACCTGAAAAGAAGAGAAGATGTTAAAACATACTAAACTTTTATGTTTCAACCTGATTAAAATGTTTTCATCGGATTATAAAAGATTATCTTTGAGGAAAATGTAAATATGTTCACAACAATGAATGCGACTTATAAAAGTAAACAGAAAAGACATGCTAGCCTGAATAATAAGGTTTACTACATTTTGTCATTGAGCTTCTGCTCTTATCTGCGAATAACAATGTCTTCCTTAACTATGTCGTATTTAAGAATCATTACCTTACATTTTACTTGCTTACATTACTCTGAATCTCAGAGCTTCTGGAACTGAATCATGTTTAGAATGATACATTTTTTGAGCTTCATTATCATGACGACTTGTGGATTGGAATTGTAAAAAAAAAAAAAAAATATCTGTGTTTCAAGTAAAAAGAAAACAAAATAAACACACTGTATTGTGAACATGTTCAAAACATATGAATGTGGAAAAACACTTAAGTAAATACAAACCCGTGGGGATCATACACTTATGAGCCAGCGCCTTTTCCATTTTCCCTTCCTCCCTCTTCCCAAACAACTGGGGCAACAGTGACTCAGAGGTCAGGGGGTTTGTCCAGTTCAAACCCCTGCTCTGTTCGTCTCAGCTGTTGTGTCCTTGGGAATAACACTTCACCCGCCTTGCTTGCTGGTGGTCAGAGGGTGATGCCGTTTGATTGGCAGCCTCGCTTCTGTCATTCTGCCCCAGGCCAGCTCTGGCTACAGCGAAGCTCACGACCATCAGTGTTAATGTGTCAGCGACTGGTGTGTGTGTGTGTAAGGTGCTCTGGAGTTCTCAGACTTGGTAAAGTGCTGTACAAATGCTGGTCACTTAGCATTGACATAGTCAATTTCCGTTTTTTGTTTCAGTATATTCTCTCATCTCTGCCCATCTTTTTCTTTTATGAGCTGTTTGTCAAAAATTAAGATAGCTATAGAAAAATTAGTTATAATTGCGTCCTGAAAAACAAATGAACAACAACAACGAAAAAAATCTGTGCTGGAACCACATGTTTGCTTTCTACAAGAAATGCATTGGAACTTATTGTAAGGCAGAAAACATAACCAGAAAGAGCCTCTGGAAAAATAATGGAAGCCCTGAGTCTGTTCATCCTGCTATATTTGTCTCAGGAAGATTTGCTGAGCATGCAGGTTTTCTTTCCTCCTAAGTGTGGCTACACAGCAGAGTAGCTGCAGATATTAACACCTGGAAACAATTTACAAATGTAACCTTCAGACACAAAGCTTTTGTGTGTGTCCGCACGCAGACATCATTAGCGGCTTTATGCTACCAGGCGCTTATCAAAAGGTTTTAAAAGTGTACTTTTATTTGTGTATCTGTTGTAAAATAAAAGTACAATTGAAAGATGATGGAGCAGATTCTCACAGGTCATGCAGTGTTATTTAATAGAATGTAATGAAGGAAATTTTCACTACATTTGAAGAACAACAGACAAGATTCCTTCATTTGTAAAATAATACCAATAATTGATTTTGATTTTTAATATTTGATTTTAGAGAGCTAATTTCTGAATTTTTATTCTGTTGCTCCGACAACAGTAATAAATGTTCTAATGTAAATTCTTGACTATTTGCTTACATGGATGTTGTGTCATGCCAGCAATAACATAGTTTAAATATCTATTCAGCTAAATTGTTAAGTTGAAAGTCTTGAGAGTCCTTGAGGTGATTTGGGTTTTGTTGTATTGCCCTTGGAGCGGATTGAGAAGATTTTTTGAAAGATCGTTTTTGATCCTCGGTAAAAACTTTTTGCTGCTTCCAGGGGGAATACAACTTCTGCTTGTGTGTAGTTCATAGGGGTCGAAGCTGTGAGAAAGTTTCCAAAATGTCTTATGAAAATGGTGTTAGTAACTGATATTCATTTTCATGTACGACATTGCCATAAAATAAGAATTTTATATACAAAAAAATTTAATTTTGTTTTATCAAATGTTGCGAGACAAGAGGAAAAAGTGAAGAGAATATGACTTCTGTAATCATTTATTCTATACTGAGCATGTGGTGCAACCAGGTTTTAAGAGAAATTACATCATTTATCTAAACTCGATGGACTCTTCATTGACTTTTATTAATACAATGTCATTATTAGCTACGTTAGGTTATTTAGTTTTATCCCTCAGAGGATTAAATGCTCTTGCTGTACGTAAAGTTTTTAATGATGACTTTAAGCTACATGCAAATGCTGTTTGAACTCTTGTTTGATCCTTCTTCAGTTTCAGCTCCCCTCCCCCTTCTGCCTCCCTGTTACGGCTGTTCTCTTCTAACTTGCTTTGTGTTTCCTTTTATCTCTTCAGGTGACATCTAGTCGTGCAGCCCAGCAGCAACAATCACAAACTGGAGCAGGATCAGGTAGGCATGTGCTTCTTTTTTTCTTAATTTTTTCCCTTATTAGTTTCCCTTCTTTGAAATGTACTTTCCTCATGATACATGCATAGCATTCATTTCCTTTGTACTACTGATACTCAGGGATGAGACTTTTTAATATTTGCGATAAATACTTTCTCTTCCATTTTGCGGTTTTAGCTGCCGAGTTATTCGTCTTGTCTCGTTAACTGCTTTTGATCTTTTTGCTGACTTTTATACACTATTTGGTGGCCCTCTGTTTTAACGTCAGGCATCAGCCTTATAACAATCTCACCCATTTTCTCTCTTCCCCTAAGGAATTTACTACTCCAGCTCTACTTTACCTGCTCAGCGGGTCAGTTCCCCCCTTTCTGGGGGAGGAGGCTCAGGGTCAGGTTCTCCCAGTAAACACCAGCGTTTGGGATCAGCCTCCGACACGCCAGGTTATTCCACCACCCAGCGCCTGCCTTCCTCTTCCCCCTCCTCCTCTCCCAGCAAACAGTCTCCTGCTAACCGACTGGCCAAGTCATACAGGTAAACCATCACACTCATTGGGTGTCTGACCTTGGATTCTTTGTGTTGTTAATGATACTGAAGCACGTAAACTTAAGATATGCACACGCTCATGCTTATCCATCTAAATCCAGTTTTGTTTTGTTACTTTGTTGTTGTTGTTTTTCTTTTGTTTTTTTGTTTTTTATTCCAGTACCACGGTTGCTGTGACAACAGCAGGAGGTGGGTCACCACTGAGGGTGGCATCTCCGTCAAATTCTACAGCAACAGGAGGAGGGAACAGTTCATCATCGTCCCCTCTTCACCAGGTAACAAACTGTATCTTCTTGAAGGGTGCGTTAACTTTTAGTGCATCCATATGGGAGTCACTTTTTCAAAGCATGTGCCAGAAATAATAAAAAGTGTATCTATTAAAGTTTGTGGTGAGAATGAAGGGTTTTTCTATAGGCTGTGTGCTCCTTGAGTCTGTTGAGATATGTTTGGGGGATCTGAAGTTAAATATTTATGTACTATGTCTTATTCTGCATTGTCATTATTTGCAGACAAAGTCAATATGGGAGATTTTGTACTGTGTGATATGAGACAATTATTGTTGCAAATGTGTTTATGTTGTAATTCGACACTATGTCACAGAAACTGATGAAACCGACTAGGTTTTCTTTGTGTCGGTCTCTTAGCAGTTATCCCAGTGTAAGTTTTTAGGGAAGTTCTGTGAAGATAGACCAATCGGACATAATGTTATGACAAGAATGGGCATCTTGACTGGTCACAAAGCCCTATTGACAACTAAATCTGGAGTACTGAGAAGTAGAACGCCTTTTTACAACAACCAATATCAAGTACTTCAGCAAATTCTGCTATAGTAGCTTGCCCATTGGATCATACCATACACTCTGGTTTTTTTCCATATGCATCAATGAACCTTGGCAACCCAAGGTAACCCTGGTGGCTTTGGGTTTATTCCTTTCCTCCCCTTAGTTGGGGAGGAAAGGAATAAACCCACAATAGCTGCAGTTTTGGAGAAGTTGTATCCAGCTATTACAAATTGGTCCCTGTGAAAGTCACCAAAATTATTACGGTTGCCCATTTTTCCAGCCTTAAAATGTTAATGGTAATTTGGCGCCTAATGTTGCTGACACTCAGTGACATTAGCTGTTACTGAGAATTAGTGGTACAATGGTAAAACTTATTTTTACTATTGTACAGGTAAAGGTGCAATGGTAAAACAATAATTAGTTTCATTTATTTCACATTGTCAGTAGTTGTAATATTATGTCCAATCAGTGTATTTTATTCTAAATATATTCTTGGTGATTGAGTCCCATGTGGATAGATGAAAAGTAGTTTTCATATGTTTTTGCTTAGTTTCATACATTAGGTCCATTCATGAAAGAAACATGGAATAAATCTGTGCATACAAATTTTACTTTAAAATTAAGCAGTTGTGTATTTTATTCAAACTGTTTTTTTTTTTTTGTTAAACCGAGTTACTACAGTAGACTGAATATGCACTGAGTTGTAGTGTGCTATTATTTGTTCATTTTTTGTAGGAGGCTGTTGCATACAAAGCAGCATTGTTATTGGCGTATTTGGTTGAATTGGTTGTATTTTTCCCATCCATAATGGTCTCTCCTCAAGATATTGACATCAACCTTAAGAAAACTTGACTGAAAGAAATGAAAAGAGAGAAATATATCACTTAGCCATTACAGTTTTGGCTGCCAGCACATAGCAATTGCTTCAGCACAACCTGGGCATGAACAATTATACCATTCTGATTTTGAGTGCAGCAAATCATAACAAAGTGTAGCCAATAAAAATGGCTTGTGTTTGCAGATGAGTTCTGGCATAGGGAGCTATGCCACTTTGTCTCCTAAGCGTCTGGCAGCTCACCACGCTTCTGACCAATACAAGATCTCACACGAGCTCTACGCTACTGCTACACTACAGAGGCCTGGCAGTCTGGCAGGTGAGAATTTACTTATTTACCCAGTTTAAAATGATATGTTTGTAGATGAACCCAATGTGCTCTGTTTTTTTTTTTTGTTTGTTTTGTTTTGTTTTTTATTCTCAGCTGTTGCAATGACTTAGCTTAGCCAAAACACAGGGGGTTCATTGCTCAATTTTCTGTTTTTCGATGTTTGAGACTTTGTTTTGAATTTTAGACACCACTTAAAAGCCTTCATGTTTTTTAAAAATCATTCTTCTCTTTTCTGTTGAATCCTTGTCTGATAGCTTTTGATCGTTGTCCTTCCCTCGGTGGTTCAAATTGATTGATTCACTTTACTAATGTTTCAGTCTTCTTGGATGAAATTAGCATTCTGAAGTAGTGATTATTTTGCTATTGATTAGTCATTTAAACTTGGAAATAAATCAATGAAACGTCTGCTTGCAGGTAATTTCAGGGACACTTTTGGTTTTCACTTACTTGAAGACTTAAAGGCAATATGAAAAAAAAAATCTTTACCTTTAATACCTTGAAATCTGTATGTAGTGCGTTAATTATGAAGAATAAAAATTAAACTGAAAAATTTGTTTTTGGTGTAATTTATGCAAAGCAAAAATTAACTGAATGTATTAGTAGATAAGTAGAATTAATAACACCAATATGAACAGTTGCAATTGTTAAATGAGAGGTGGTAATATATTTCCCAGATGAAGTGATAATGATGGACTGTAAGTTTAGTTCTTTTTAGCATACACACATAATTGTAAGGCATCATAGGACAACATTCGGTTTTTACACATCCGTTTCTAATATTTCAGCAAGTGAAATATTTTAGAAGAGAATATTAATCTTTTCTTTTCCTTCTTTTTTGAAATCCCCTCTCCCTTGAAAGAAAGAGGTCATTACTTAAGCAAGTGGGCTCTTGTGAGACACAAAATAAATGAATAGCAAAATAAAACCAACTCTAAGATGAAAGGCATGGGAGGAAGGAAAAGAGCTGGGATGAGTCATAGTATTAATGGGTGTGTCTACGACTTCAATTCTTGATCCTTCATAAATATTCAAATTTAGTCCAGCTTCTTTTTTACCCACTCTTTTTTTTTTAGTTTGAAGTTATTAGTATATCCTTCTAATGCATGTTTCATATTATTACTCCATTTTTGACTCTTGATATTCAATTTGTTCTCTCAGTAAACTACGGCCAGTCATGCTTTGTCCCCTGTTGAGGTTAATAGGCTGCTTAGTTAAACTGTGCGTGTCAGTGAAAGAGTAATCTTGATACTAGCACGCAAGATATATATCATAAGGCTCCATTACAGCATTTGATGTTGTCCAAGCCTGACAGTGCAGGCATGCTCTGGTATAAGGCTTCTTGTTTCACTTTATTACAAAGATCATTCAAGAAATTAGATTTGGGGTAATCACTATGTTCTGACTGAGTGTATATTGCATTCAGTCGTAACCTCTGCTTTGGAAGTACCTACAAACTACTGTATCTGCTTGATTCTTCTTACATGACAAAACGTTTCACATGTTTCGATTTCTAAGACAAGACTTGTCAGCCTGAGTGACTGTATTTACTTTGGAGGCCTGGATCTTGAAGCACTGCCCTTTCCTTCTTTGGAAAATGCCCGGCACACAACTTGCACTCCTCTGAGAACTAATGTGATATGATAAGACATTAGTTCCACTGGACCGTTTCTTTCTCTGTCAGTCAGAGCTTTTGTACGCGTGTGGTTGTGTGATCTCATTTTATCTCCTGCCATGTCAGCTTAGCCCCTCTGACTTGTCTTTGGGTTTCCTGAGTGTGCCCCTTTTCAACCGTTTTCTAATTGTATTTTTTGTTGTTGTTTTGCTTTCAGAGGAAGGCTACTCTTTTGCATTTGTTCTGCTGTGTTATGAACAAATGCCTGTTGTCAGTTATTCTTTTTCCCTTGCCCTCTGTCTGTGGGATCCCTGCCAAACACAGGAGGCGAGGGGACATTGCATCTCATTACTTTCCAGCTGACAAAAAGCAATGTGTACTATGCAGATTAAAACAATGAAAAACAGACACATCATTCTCTCTCTTTCTGTCTCTCTCTCTCAATCTCTCTGTGTCTCTTCTCCTATCCATTTTGTCTGGTATACATGGTTCTGTTTGCGCGCGCGTGTGTGTGTGTGTGTGTGTGTGGTTTAAGGGAGTTCTAACTCACTTGTTTCCATGTAAATTGTGCCAGTTATTCTCAAACACACAATCTCAGCTTTTCATACCAGCAAAACTAAATTACAGGTTACAAATGTGCAGCTTCATTTTAGAAATGTTTGGCTGTCAGGGGTCAACGTTTTTTGTTTTTTTTCTTTTCTTTTTTTGTCATTCCCAGTAATGTTATCCAATATTTCCAACTGCTGTCCTCTTTTTCTCACCTCCTCAATCCCTTTGCTGCTATATTAATTTGTGATCCATTAGATATTTTCTTTTCAGACCAACTCTGTCTTGCTTGCCTCTTTACATCATCTTAGACTTCGCTCCTTTATTCTTCCCTGCCCTGTCCCCCTTACTGTGTATGTCATGAAAAATTTTACAATGTGCTCCTCAACTTTCTTTACTTTCATGTCGTAAGATTGATCAACTGACCTCACACAGACATCTTACAGTGTCATAAAACAGCAGGAGGTTGGTCCTTCATGCTCGGGTCTAATCCTCCTGCTACTTTCCTACCCAGAACTTATCGCAATCAAAGTCGTTTTCTTCAACATCAAACACAGACCCCTTCTCTTCACAAAAGACAAATGGTGAGACCATCTGTGCTGAGCTCGCCAAAACATTTGGTGCATAACAATCCACAACTTCACACCTGTAGTTCAATCAACCTTTCCTTTTGTTGGGAAACACCCACACACAGTGACAGCTTTCTGTAACAAGATCTACGGAACAGAACCGATAAAAGGCAGCCAGGATGAGCGGTTAGCTAAATCAGACTCGACAGACTCCTTTAACCAAATGTATTTCACTTTGTGTCATCCCTTTCATTTCGTCAATTTAAATCGTAAAATTTTCCCCCTCTTTCATACAGGCTCTCGTGGCTCCTACAGTAGTCAACACAGTCAAGAAGCTCTCCGGCCCTTAGGGTCCCCCGAGCACTACATAGATCCTATCTATGAGGAACGTGTCTATCACAACAAGGGCCCTATGAGGAGCCTTAGTCAGAGCCAGGGACCAGATACAGGCCCCTACCGCAACAACACTGGTAAAAGACTACTTCATTTGACTACTTCATTTGTAAAAACAGTTAGTTATATTATCTCAGAGTGTGTTTTATATTTACCATGTGTTTAATGTTTGAATGTTTTTGTTCTGATTATATTTTTTATCCTAAACAAACACTTTGAAGAATAGCAACTGAATAACCTACATCAGGCAGAAATAAATTAAATTGTATATTTTTGTTGGCTGAATTTGAATCTGGCTAGAAAAAAAAAAGAAAGTGACTGAAATTAACTTTGGTAAACATAGTTTACATTATTTATTAATTTATTTAATTTGTATTTTTTTTTTTTAATTAATGCAGCTTTGTTAAGACCCTTTGGGTTTTTAACAGTTTTTTGTTTGTTTTTTCACATACGGGGTTGTTATATTTTTAGCTACTTTAATTTTTTGTTTTCTGTTGCTTTGTGTGTGTGTGTGTGTGTGTGTGTGTGTGTGTGTGTATGTGTGTGTGTGTGTGTGTGTGTGTGTGTGTGTGTGTGTGTGTGTGTGTGTGGGTGGTTGAATCCAACAAGGGATTTTGTTGGACTTCAGTTACATCTCAGAACAGATAAATACTGAAAGCTGATTCCATACCAACAGCAATACTACAAGCAGCCTGCAATGTTAGCCACAAAGGAGAGCTACTGCAAGGCAAGAGGTCAACCAACACAGGTGCTCATGATTTATAGGTTTGCACGACTGGTCAGCTCTATATCAGATCCTCAGGACTAAATACACCACAAGTTTGATTTTTCTGATCTTGAAGCAATCATTTTTTATAAAAAAAAAAAAGAAAAAAAAAGAAAAGAAACCAGCCCCAGACACTTTATATATGGATTTTTATCTGAATTTGTTTCTAAAAATTTTGTAGCTGAATTTTGGCTGAGATACGGCCAAAGGTGGCTTGTACTCAGTTCAGTGTTACTAGCAGGTATGTTTCTTTTCTTTAATTTTTGAGGACATTGGACAGGCTGGCAGTCGAAACAATGTTTCCTGAGTAAAACCTACAAACGTGTTCGCTTCTCCAATACTACGCATACTTGAAATGAATAGTTTCTAAATATTGTCACCTTGATTCTGCAAACGTCTTTTCAGAAATATGGTCTCAGATTAAATATTTGTGACAACCAGATTCAGTTTGTTTGCTGTCAGATGTTTGTCTCAGGAATTTGGTGGTAAATAAAAGGACACCCTGAATCCCTTCCTTCCACAACACAAGACTATTGTATGTGTTCTAAAGGAAATATTTGTTGAACAGAAACATCCCAAGGACAAGAAAGTTTAGCTTTAAAGGCAGTGTAGTCCTTTTCCAAGCGCAGCTTCTTCAGTTCATTCCTAAAGTATCTCTAGCGCCCATTTGTATATCTCAAAACAGAGAGGACACATGTCCTAATGAATGACATTTTAATTGTGCTCTTCAATTTGTTAAGGTATTTCTATTATTAAAAAAAAACAAAACAAAAGCAGTAAACATCTAAAGCACCCACCCATCTCTCTCTCAGTCCCTTTTCTGCAAACCTGGTTCCAGTAAGGGTGCCACAGTTTTCCTTGTCTAAGGAAGGTTCACCTCGTTCTGTGTACTGTCATTTAATCTTAGTCTGGCCCCTACCCTGAGGAAGATTTGCCATGAGAGACTCTGCTTGGAGCTGCTAGGATTATACAAATACTAAAACCTCTCCACATTCTTAAGGCGGATATTTGCCACTTAAAAACTTTTTCTACATCCAGGAAGTCCATTGTAGCATCACTTTACTTTTCTTTTCTGTCATTCTCACCCATTTCCAGAAACTGCACCCAATGGTGAACTTTAGAAAAGACATAATAGAGAAATGGAGCTATATAAAATACCCTAAGAAAACACTTTCTTTTAGAGTAATTCTGTTTTTTTGTTTTGTTTTTTTTTTTGTAATGAAAAACGGTAGGACACATTTGCTATCAAATACGCATTGCCATCTTTACAGCTCCCTCTACAATTTCATTGTTGCCTGCATTGTGTTTTTAATAGACCCTCAATGAGCTTATCTCAATGTGGGTTTAGGTACGGCATGTTAATCCCATTATGGTATAAAAACACCCAAGTCTGTCATGCAACATTCACATGTTCCTCTGTGTCATTAACCAGCCTTGACAAAATAGCTATCATCATCATTTGGGTCACAATTACAGCAACAGATATGCAGACATACCGTTTGCCAATCTTTGTCTCAATAGAAAGGAGTTATCTTTAAACCCTTATAATGCTTTTTCTAAAATGTATGTTAGATTTCAGTTCCTCTATGCTTTAGCAGAATTCAAACACTGCAAGTCACTTTCTGAAGAAAATTGACTTGCGGTGGTATTGGTACCCAAACAGCAGTGAATTAAATACATTGAAGAGAAGAATATGCAGGCAGGATGTAGTTTTATGTTATTTAGCTTGGCCTTTAATGAAAAGAAAATGTATTGAAATTAGTTTGAATTCAATTCACTGGAAGACTACGTTGCCATAAACCGTATTTACTGCAACTCTTGTACTTTGTTTTTGCTCGTATCGACGCAGTGGAAAACCAACAAAACAAAGATGAACGTCACTTTGTACTCACCATGCCACTAAATTAAGATTTGGTTTTGTTTAAAAGAAAGTCACGCGCATTCTGTGTGCAATGAACAGAGGTTGTCTAATAGGGATTCATAATGCACTGACTGATGGCACATAATGAACTGATAAGGGTTGTGCTGACATAGTGAGCGGTAAGTCATTAATTATGTCACAGTGCCTTTTCTTGGCACTGGCAAGCTCACATTATTGGTTCATTAAGCTGGCATGGATCAATGTAATTAATGCTATAAGTCATTCTCTTGCTGAAGAGGAATGGGAGATGTTTCTGTGGGTGTTCGGCATCAAAAATCACCACGCTGTAGTCGGTGGGTCTATATTTCTCCCTCATATTTTATTTATTTATTTTTTGCAAACAGTGTTACATAATTATAGCAAAAAAATAAAAGATTCTGAAAGAGAAACAGTAGACAGAATATCTAAGATCATTTTTCTGTCACTACGCAGTATAACTGCTTGAAAATCTACTTTCTGATTTAAGTTTTATTTAGCTGTGAGTTCCAGATATTCCAAAGGAAACTGCTTCCCTCTGCCTTTCACCAACCTCTTGTTTTCTTTACCACCAAGTTTTTTTTTTCCAATACAGCAGACTGAGTTTGATCCTTACTGCCTGTTTTAAAAAGTGATGATAAAACAATGTACAGATAATGCTCCTATAAAAAATGAAGGAGCTCTCTTACTTGGAATAACAAAAGCATTTTAACATTTCAGTGACAAAATTCTGGAGGGGAAGCAAAAGATATGAGGCAAAACTTAGAACATTTTTCTATACAATGCATTCTTTACTCACCTTGTCTTTCCTATGGGCCATACTTAAAAACTACCACTTTAGTGGCAAGATTAGCAAGATTGTCATTGCCGTTCCAAGGTCCTGCTACTTGTTAGTGTGAGATAAGAAAAACACTGAAGTCATGTTTTCTTTTTTGCTTTTTGTTTTGGCAATTGGACACAGTTTGCAATGCTAACTGTGTCTCTTTAATGTCAATGTTTTGTTGCATGAGTAAGTAAGTGTCTGTGTGGTTTTGTGACATACATGTCGTATGCATGTGTGTAGGCTGCGGTGCATGAATTTCATTCTCGAATAAAACTAGGGCAGTGCCCAAGAGGACCACAGGTTAATGTGGCCTATTTAAAGCTATTATTTCTTCTTGGCCACAGTGCCTCCAATGTACACATTCATTCAAATGATGCTGATTCACTGCAGGATGACTAATGCGTCTTCTGCAAGGCCTCGTGTGTTCCAAAAGCCTTTTGTTTTTATTTCCACATATATGCAAATCTTACAGTCTCCATCCAAGTAGTGAGCTCATGATTGTTGCTGCTACTTGTATTCCCCTTTCTACATGTTTTTGTTGTAACCCACAGTGTCTTATCATTGTTTCTTACCTTTTAGTGTTTTCTGACTTTTTTTTTTCAGATGTTCTTCTTGCATTGTCTTTGTGCATCCTATTTTTACGTCACGAACGCCGCCTTGGCTCGTATTAATGACTCTGACCACCGGGAATAACTGCCATAAGAATGGATGTGGCTCTTTTTCTCCTTAATAGCTTAACATTAGGTCTGTGTGTGGCCCAGGTAGTGGCAGTTTGAATTAGCTGTTTGAGTGCACCGGCTATTTATCAGGTCCCTCCTTTAACAAGATTGAACTACTACTAATGACAAGATTTCTGTATTTAAGACCACTCCCTATAGTATCTTTAAAGGAGACGGAAACATGTTCTTTAACAATTTCTTACCCAAAAGATGTTTTTTAAAGTGGTGATATTATGTAATTTCCAAGCACATAGTGCCATTTTAGAGCACAATCAAGTAACTATGTTACCCTCAGTTGTTAAAAAATGCTGTTTATGTCAAACATAATTTAAAAGAAGTTTGACTTTGAAATTTCATGCATTGAAATTGGCCTCTGTCTCTTTAAGAATCTCCTGCTCTTTCCGACACTCTGCCACCTGTGTTGCCATCACAACAAGCACTTTCCATAATGCCTTCAACCGTTTTTAGGAGTGTTGGACTGACAAGTAGTTTGTTTAATAAGCTCAGCAGACTTGCATCTCCTCCATGTGTTTGCTAACTGCTGCAGCCGCTAGTCTGATGGAGCTGATGATGGAAAGAGGGTTTGATGCATCTCTTTCTCCTGCAAACTACAATCAACTCCTTTACATTCAAGATGAAATATGATCCTTTAAACAGCTTAAAAATATTTAAATCTCATTGTCTCAGTGTCTGTTATTTATTATAAGAATGCATTTGCAAGAGAATTGCACATATATTATATAGGACGAAGTCGACTATAAATTGTGCTATATAAACTGAAGACTGGGTGTTCAGATCCCATTTTATGCCTGCGGAAGTTCTCGAGTGTTTGTAAATATTGATCTTTTTGCCCCACACATTTCACACTCTTC